CAGCAGGAAAAGTCAGTGGAAAGATGGGGGTCAGCATGTGGGCAGGGACAGCCGGGGGCCGGTGTGGTGTCGCAGCCCCCTGCCCATGCCTGGGAGGAGACCACGTCCTGCGGAGGCTTCCCAGTCCTCTCTCCTTGGGGATTTTGGGTTGTCACCCAGGCTGTCCCGCTCTGATCCTGTTACAGACTGTGGTCACGAGCTGTGCACGGGCTCGACCTGCGCACGTGTTTGCAGAGCAGCGCTTGGGGCCATTCCAAGCCTGCCGGCAAGGTCCCAAAACAGCACCTGCAAATTCACCTGTGTATGGCTGTGTGCCCAGTTTGCCACTGGTGGGACAGGCTGGGGGACCCTCTGCTTGTGCGGGGCTGGAGCGCGGGTCTTGGGGCTTGGCTGCAGGTTCGGACCAGCGGCTGGAGCACCTGGGAGCTGTGCCATGCTGTGCTTGACACAGTCCCCCTCTTATGTTCCCCTCCACAGGTCCTCTGAGCACCCCTGTCCCCTTCCTGCAGAGCATCCCCATGTACCCCTGCACCGTCAGCAACTCCGGCGCGGAGAAGCGCAAGCACTCCACCGCCTTCCCCGAGGGCAGCTTCCTCGAGCCATCGTCCGGGACTGTGGCGAGCCAGTACATGAGCCAGGGCGCTTCGGCTGGCGAGGGGCAGTCCGCACAAGCCATGGTGCCTTGTAGCTCCACGCAGCACATAGTTGGACTTCCCAGCGGCCCGCAGCCGGTGCACTCGGGCTCCGTCTTCAACCCATCTCACTACCCCAACACCACGTCATCTCAGCAGTCCGTGCTCTCCCAGTACGGCGGGCGCAAAATCCTCGTCTGCTCCGTGGATAACTGTTACTGTTCCTCCGTGTCCAACCACAGCGGGCACCAGCCCTATCCGCGGTCGGGGCACTTCCCCTGGACGGTCTCCTCGCAGGAGTACTCCCACCCGCTGCCGCCTGCCCCCGCCGTCCCCCAGTCGCTCCCGGGACTTGCCGTGAGGGAATGGATTGACGCATCCCAGCAGCACGGGCGGCAGGATTTCTATAGGGTCTACGGCCAGCCGTCGGCGAAACACTACGTCACCAGTTAACCGTCACACTCTCCGGAGAGTCCCGTTCGATGACGCGTTCGGAGAGAAAAGTCTGGTTTGGTTTGGCTTTTCTTTTTTTTTTTCCTTTTAAATCAAACCCAATTTTTTCCCCGCCTCACGCCCCTCCAGGATTTTGGGGAGGGTTGTTCTCTCATCTCTCTCTTTTTTTTTTTTTAAATCCTTTTAAAACGAAATAATAATGTTTTTTTTCCTTTTAATTCCTTTTTTTTAATTTAATTTTGGAAAGTCCTTCCTGCCCCTCGCTGGGAAAAGACGAGGGGGAAATTACCGAGAAGAAATCGATGGGGATTTCAGTCGGGCGTCTGGGTCTGTGCGTCGCACTCTTCCTCGCTCCTCTCTGCCTTTGGAAAACTTCAGAAGGGACAATGGCACCTTCTCTCTTTCCATTTCTCCGAGTTCATTTTTTCTGGTTTGGTTCAGTTTTTCCCCTTTCCCCACCCTTCTCTTTAAAATCTATCATTGATTCAGTATGAAACGATACTTGTAGATTTTGGGTTTGTTACCCTTTTTTTTTTTTAAAGGCTGATTTTTTTTTTTTTGCGTTACGAGGCCACTTCTCATGCATATTGGCATTTTTTTTCCTTCTTCTTTCAGAGATTTGTAAATACACAATGGCAGGAAATTTAATGCACAAAAAAAAAAGGGAAAAGAAACTTTAAAAAAAAAAACACGAATAAATAAATAAAAAGAAAATCTGTTTTAGTTTTCAGGAGGGGAAGCGTGGCCGAAATGCACCCCCCTCCTGCGTATCGCTGATGCAACTTCCTGTAACAAGCACTTTGTATAAAAAAAAAGTGGACTTCCTGCTATAAGGCACAGGTATTTATTCTGTAACCGATTTTAGAACACACACACACAAAAAAAAAAATATTCAAATAAATGTGATCACTTAGTGCAAACGCCTCGCTCTGCTGCAGCTCTTCCCCCAGGAACGCCAGCTCCGGCCGGAGGCTCCCACCTGCTTTCGGCAGTAACCGCTCCCCGGCCGATGGCGGGGATTTTCCGGCAGGGCTGTTTCGGAGGGAGCTGCTCGGGAATGGGGTGGCGGTGGGTCCCGGCCAGGGAAGGGGTCCCCACCGGCGCCCGTCCCGCGTCTCAGCCCCATGGGGAGGGATGCAGGAGCCGTGGGTCTCCGCCGGCTCCCTCCCAGCCGGCAAGGATGTGAGTCAGGCACGGAGCTGGCCGGGCCGCATCCTGCCCGCGGCCTCCAGAACAATCCCCATTGTGGGATGGGGACGGGAATGGGGACGGCGGCTTTCCTGCCTCCGCCGGCACCCACCGCGCTGGCCGTGCTGCAGCCCCGGCACCCAGCCCCTCAGGCTTCGTCCCCACCTAAAGCCCCGCTGCCCTGTGGGGCTCTGTGGGTGCTGGCAGCACCCTGGGCTGGTTCGGGGATGCTCCGAGCTCAGCCGAGGCCGGGAGGAAACCTTCGGCTGGGGTGTGCGGCGGGGCCGTGGGCTGGCCTGGCTGCGGCTGTGCAGGGGCGAGCTCTTCATCCGGGGAAGTCGGGGCTGACTTCATAAAGCAGAGCAGCGTCAGAGAGGCATTAGGGTTTTTCCATTGCTGTCTTCGGTCTTGGCTTCCTTTATTTTTTTCCTGGTTGCAAAACGTCCGTGGTTTTGTTCCGGTTTAGATTCCCCCCATGCTGCTTCGGTGGGAAACGGGAAGGGGACTGAGTCTCAGTGAGCGCAAACCAGGGAAGCAGTGGGTCTGAGGGAGGGGGACCCTCGCACCCAGCTCCCCCCATTCCAGCCCGGGTGGTGGGGGGCCAGCACCCCCTGTGTGCTCCTGGCCACCCTCCGGATCGGTGCCGCCCCGTGGGCAGGGTGTAGAGAGCAGCAGCTCGGCCCTGCTGCCATGCCGGGCTCTTCCCATCCCCGTCCTGCTCAGATGCTTCAGGAAACCCCCAAACTGTTGGGATATTTGGGGGTTTGCTTCCCAGTCCCAAGCAAAGCGCCCCAGGGCAGCAGGAGGGAGCGGGATGCTCCCAGCCTCCGCTGCAGGGACCCTGCGACGCCTCCCCCCGTGTCCACTGCCGGGGGGGAAGAGCCCCGGTGGCGATGGGGACACTGAGGCAGGGGGGACGAGTGACGACCCTCACCACGGAGGGGGGCCCAGGAGGGGTCCCCGATGCAGAGCCAGGGCCATTCCCCACCCTGGGGTGCTCCCCAGCCACGGCCCCTGTGCTCTGTGCCCCCACGTTTGCCCTCCCAGCTGTCCTCATCATCATCCTCCTCTTCCTCCTCGGCACAGCTGCCTCCTGCGACAGTGGCAGCTGCTGGCTCCGGGCAAGCATTAAAGCACCTGTCACCTATAGATGGGGGGGGATGCAGGCGCAACCCCCACCCCGCAGGGTGACCCCCAGGGGCTTGGGACATGTGCCCACCGCGGGCCACCCTCGCCCTGCACCTTCACCACAGGGAGCAGCCCCAAAAGAGTGGGTGCCCCTTGCAGAGCCCCGGTGCCGCGGCCGCTCCAGCCCCCCGAGCCGGGAGGAGGACCCCAGCGTCCTGGCTACCTGCAGCATTGCACCCTCAAACCCTGCGCGCTGCTGGTGGCGGGGAGGGAGGCAATGGCCCCCCCGGGTCACACCTGAGCCACGGGAGGACACGTGCCATTGGGCTGACGGTGTCCTGGGCTGCCGGGAGGGGAAGCGCCGATGCTCGGGTGCTCGGTGGGGTTTTGGTGATGGATGGCTCTGTCTGGGGGGGTGGGAAAAAGCGGGGGGAGCAGAGGCACATCCATAAACAGCTCGAGTTGTGAATGGAAAGAGACAGATTAGGAGCTGGGTGAAAACATGTCACACGGCGGAAAGAAAAATGAGCAGCTGGGCCAGACCAAATTGGTGTCTGATGAAGGACATGGGGCCTGGTGGAAAAAGGATCCAGGGGCTGGCGGTGCTGCTCGGGGGAGGCTGATGGGGAACAGCTGGAGCTGGACACGCACATCTGGCGGAGCAGGGTGAGGGGAGAGGCAGTGGCGCTGATAACCGCCGCGCCTCCGGCCACCTCGCTCGGGTTGCGGGGCCACAGCTCGTCCCCCGGATCGGTGCCTCGAGGGGGGCTGGTGCTTCATTTCCAGGGTGATCCTGGGGAGGGGGTGGCAGCGCCGTGGCCCAGCCCTCGGCAGGGATTTACCTGGCGGGGTTCAGGCTCTGCCGTGCTGAGGGGTCCCCAGGTGGAGGAGCCGCTGCCTCTTCCTCCATTTGCATACATGTAAATAAGCAATCAACATAACGATGGTGAATGCAAACCAGGCTTTCAGTTTGCAACCAAGTCCTATTTTTAACCTTGGAAAAGGGTTTTGGCAGGAAGCTGCGGGCCCGGCTCCGGTACCTGGCGCCACGTCCAGCTGCGCGGGTGCGCCAACCGAGCCCTCACCCCGGAGCGCTGCTGACCCCACGGCCATCAGTGGCCAGTGCTCACCACGCTCCCCTCCCCTTACCTAAGGAAACAGAAATCTCCCATCTTTGCAGAAACACAGACATCATGCTCCAGCTCACGGGAGCCTTTTCAGGCAGCTCTCCCACCCACCAAGCCCCCGGGTCCTGCTCCAAGCTGGGGCATGCGCCCGGGGAACCCCCCCGGTGCCCTGGGAGTGAAGCCTCATGCTTAAACATAAGGGGTATATTTAGACAGCATCAATTTAAGTTTGCACAGCAACCTTATAAATATGAAAGCCATCTCGGCGAGATGTTTAAGATACCTCATCAGTCCTTGGAAAAATATGCAGGAATATTAATTAGCCAGATTTGGGTATTATCTCGTAATGAATAAATGAAGAGACTCGCTGCCTAAGATGAATCACTGGCAGCTTGCCTTTTTTTTTTTTTTTTTTTTTTTTTTTTAAGAAAAGCGTGTTTTTAAGGTAATTCACTCTTTTTAACCCAAGGTCCATGGAGGGGCTCAAGGCATACAGCCGTGGCAGGGCCAAGCGGGGTGGGGACACCTCGGGGTGCCTCTTACAGAGAGGGTCCCCCAATAGCTGGTGTTGTAGACCCCCCCAATTCATCCCCAGCTGGTTGCACCACCTCTGGGGATGGAGGGACAGGGACAGGGTTGAAGCCGTGCCCCGGCAGCAGCAGCCCTAGGCCGAGGATGGAGACAGAAAGTGCAGCCTTAGTTCTTAAAAACTTATTTTTGACTTCTTTCCCTCCCACTCTCCATCCTCCACTCCCACCCTCCTGCTCCGCTCCCCCGGCTGCTTCGCTCCCTCCAGCCGGGCCAGGACGGGAACTTCCCGGTTGCTGTAGAAACACAGATGAAGGACATGTTTCAAACGAAAACTATGAACAAGAAATGGCTTTGTGTGCACCAGGACAGTGCTCTGCCATGCCAGGATGTGGTGACTTCGGGGCCCTTCTTTCGTGGCACCTGCGTGGCCGGGGGGGCTGCAGGGCTGGCAGAGGCTCCCCGCCAGCCCTGAAACCTTGCCCTGAACAGCGAGAGAGGCTGGGGTTCCCAGGGAAGGTGCTTTGAAGGTCTCCATCACCCATGGGTGCTCAGTGCATTGCTGCACCCAGGGATTCAGCAGCCGCTGGGGTTTTGCCAACCTCCCCACCTCTGGTGCCCTGGGCACCATCTGCCCACCTGGCCCAGAGCTGAGGCACCCCAAGGGGCATCGCCACCCGGTTTGCAAGATTTTTGGGGCGGCAGGACAGTTTCCAGCTGGTGGGAAGGGGCTCTGGACTGGGCAGGGGACAGCCCGGCTGGAGGCGGCAGAGGATGGAGAGACCCCCACAAGCTGCGAGGGCCGGGTTGGACGGCTGAGCCATGGACCAGGCAGCAGAGCCGTGTCCCAGGGGCGCAGGGAAGGGGCGGC